CCCTCCAAATGTTCCCCCACTACTGAAGCTACTTCCACTTCCAGTTTATACTTCCGATCTTCTCGGAGGAACTCGGGTATTTTCGACCTGATCAGCGGACTGCAGGGTCAGACGTGCGTTACTCGTATGTAACCTTTCTTTGACAAGGAATAAACGTAAGGGGGAAGTCACCCCTCTATTTATTTCAATTTTGAAAGACGAAATATATAAATCTACATTTCTAAGTTCAGAAATGTCCAAAGGACTAAATTTTCAAATTCTCAAGTACCCATATCTTTAAACTCCCAAATTTCTAAATTTTGATTATGCAAAAATTCATACAATTTATTCTATAATTTGATACACCAAAGTTATAATGAACTTTACACTTATTGCAGAATGCTAAGAAACAGAAAATAGTAAATGAAGAAAAATGAAAAATTTTTAATATTTTATTTAGAAAATTACATTCATCATGTTGTCTTCTCGCTTTTATTGTCACCATTTTCTGAAAGTGTATCTTTTTTCAATTCGTATATCTGGAAGTAGAAAACATAAAAATTATTTATCTAGAACATATAAGTAAAAATATAAATTCGTACCTGTATGTATGCTTCAGTTAAAGTTATCATTTGAGGTAGAATTTGAGTTACATGTAAATCTTGCATTTCGTACCACTGACCAGTGGCTCTATGTAAAATATGCACCCTGTATGTTCCTTGACCAGGTTCACCATCGTGAACTATATTTGCAACTAAGTCATATGTCGTATATGGATGCCTTTGTTTCACTTCAGGTGTTAAAATATCTCCAAAATCAACATTTCTGTAATACGTAAATACCGATAAATCAATAATTATATTTTTCCTCAAAATATTATAAATAATGATAGAAAAATTACTTACTTAACTGGGAAATTAACGATAGTAGGATTTTTTTCTACAAAAAAAGTGTTCTTCGTAAACCTCTGTACAAACAAATAAAGTTTAATATATTGAGCAATTCTTAATTATTCGGCAAATTAAATGACTGTTCAATATGCAGTACAATCACTAACCTTTATATAAAGTATAAGATAAGGTGGAAGTTCTGTTATTTCAAATCTTTTCATAAAATTCTCTTTATAAGTTTTGTATTCTTTTTCGGTCACGGCATTAAATTTATTTAACAACGTGTATAAATTGACCTATAAAAGTGAACAATGTTTTATCATACTCATGATATTGAAGTTGTCCAGAACTTACTTGAGGAATAATATTTTCGGTAAATTGGTCCTTAAAAAGAGGTGGTGGAGGAAGATCACATGTTAGATATAAAAATGGACTTTCCGTTACAGTTTCACCATACTCAACAGTGTGAAGAAGCTCACTTCTTTGACTTTCATCTAATTCAAGAGGAGGTATTTTTCGTGTATAGATACGCATATGACCCAAAAATGTTTTATAAACTATAGTAGAATCACGTTTTTTAGTTCCATTTAATGCTAAATGAAGCGCGTTCATAAACCAAGACAGAAAGTCAATTGGGTCACCTAAAAATATATTTTTTATGTACATTAAACCTTGCACAGTAACAAAAAATTTTCTTTTAGTATAACAAATTATGTACCCTGCTCTGTAAACTGGAACCTTTTCTTGCTCCATAATACAACTGCTTGCAACATTTCATGTGGGCTAACATGTGCTTTAAAATTACGTGGGTTCCATAGTTTCCTCATTAATTCACCAAAACGTTGAACTAATAAATAAGAAGAATCACCAGGTGGTCTTTTTACATGAGAATAATTAGACTCTCTTAGGAAAAAGTCCCTTAAAGGTGTGACATGAGAAAGTGCCTACAAAACGTAATTATTAAAATCCTGATAAAATAAACAAATAGTTATAAATATCTAAAAGTAACTTACTTGTAAAATAACGTTACAGTAATCATTTGCTTTAATATTATTCATTCCTACAATACCTGGGGAATACAATGAACCATCAATGGCTCTGGATAATTTATCGCTTTTATCCAACTGAGCAATTTGCGCTTTATCAAATGTTGGATTTAAAACATACTTTATGTCATCCAATGAAGAATCTAAATATTGACCACTTATTAGTAAATACTGATCTAATTTAATAAGAAGAAAATGAAAAAAATATACCATTAATTACCAATTATCTCATAATTGTCAGGCAAGCAATAAAATTTTAAAGTGTGAAGATTTAGAAAGACATGATGACTTTCTGCTACACTGTGTGTATATGCATGAGTATTTGTACCTCTTCCTTGAAAATATTTTCCACAAACAAGGCAGGCATATACGTTAATTCTTGACAATGATACTGAACACAGTTTTTCAAAATCAAAATCTAAAAATTGACGATTTATTGTATCTAAGTAAGGACACAATCTCGGTGCATCTAGATTTGTTTTGGCGATTTTAACGTTCCCTATAAATAAACAAAATAACTAAATTGAACATTAACCTATATATAGGTTAGACCTTATAATAACATGTAAAAGAAATGTTAGTGAGAAATCATATTTTATTTGTTTAATATAGGCTTCATTAACACTAAAAGGAAAGAAACGTTATTTCATTTAAAGCAACATTAAATCGAAATGTAATAATTAAAGTAAGAAAAAAAGTACCTAACCTAAAATTCATGTATGTAAACAATGGATTTCAATCACTCTATTAGCTTTGTAATTCAAACGGAAGAGTAATGAAAGTTTAAAAAAATATAATTCAAAATACTTACTGTCAACATCTTCATCTACATTATTTTTAACTTGTAATAATTTTCGTTTTTGTTGATTGCCCTGTTTATTCGTCGCCATTTTTATCATAAACCAGTCTAAATCATTTTTATGGATCAGATAAAATAAAATATGCAATTTACTTGTGTAATCATATATTAAATAACATACATTTAATTAATATACAATTAAAAATAAATAATTCATCATTTTTAATTTTTATAGATCTTATCATTTTCATCGTTAGCTTATTTAATTGATTGACTTATCATTTCGAAGTTATAAATATATATTTAAATAATAAACTGACTCTATTTTGCAAATTATATTATTTAGAAAAAGCTATTTTTCAAAGTGTAATTTCAAAAATTTATCGATTGCGATTACTCGCAAATTGATCAAAGGAATGTTTGCTGCGCCATCTACAAAACCAGGTTTTTCCTAAAGGTGAGTTTAGAATAAGCGAACTACTTTAAGCGCAAACGAATGCTCTAATAATAGCCCTTGCTTGTTAACGCAATTCGACTTAATACGCTTCAATTCAATGCAAATCAATTCTATGTTATTTAATTTTTCACATTTCTGTTCCATTCCATAATTCTATTCTTTAGTTTTCAATTAAAAATTCATTAATTCAACAACTATGTTTTAATGTTACTCAAAACACGAACGAATGCTCTTTCTCTTTTTCTATGTTCTTGCTCGTTTAGTCAAAACGTACCCTAAAGATAAAAAGCGTAGCTGAAACTAATTTCCCCGCTGCGGGTGCCACGACTGATTGAAGGAGGTTCCGCGATGGTGTGAATACAGATTCATTTGACAAATATTCCCGGATAATGCATATCTTTAAAAGTAGAATAATTTTGAACTGAGGATCTGCAGGAGACACATTAAAGAAATGTCGTAATGTGTGACACGAGTTTATCAAATCACACAGAAAGCATTTCTCATTGGATTTTTTAAATTAAAACCGGATCGGGCCTTAGGTCGCCCGTTTAGTCTAGCAACAAGACGATCTCCGTTCGGTTGATATGGCCGTCGTTGAAGAATTTGATTATTTATGTCGTTTATGCGCGACTAAAACAGGCATATTAATGGGATTACCGATCTTCGAAGCCGGCGATCAAATGCGCAATATTGACAAGAAAATAGCCGCGTGTTTGCCAGTACAGGTAAAATCATGCGTAAAGATAGAGGTACAATTTCACTGCAATCTTCACTGCTCTGTCTTCACCCCCTCTTTCTAATTTAACTATAAATAGAGGAAGAAAATTGGTGCAAGGTTTCAAGTTCTTATAACAAAGATTAGGGTGTATATTACCTTTAGTAACACATAATTTAAAGAGGACTAATTGTTATGTTGTCAGTTAATAAGGTCTTTCAAAAAATATAAGTGTTGTCAATTGATTGCTTATTTTTAGGTATCTATGACTGATCAGTTACCAAAAGTAGTGTGTGAGGAGTGTGCTTATAAATTGGACCAATTATTTGACTTTCGTGAAAAATGTTTACATACTGAAGGGATGTTTATGGAAATGCTAAAAGAAATTGCTAAAGACAACGTTGTTCGTATATCGAAGCAGGATTTAGAAGAAGTAGAAGCAATGAGTAGAATTCAAAGGAATATCAGTAGAATACAAAATAACATTGAAGACGTACAAAATCATGTAACTTCTCAGGAAACAGAAGAAACCACTATACATACTATGCAAGTCATGGATGAAATAGATTTAGCAGGTGGTGAACAGGTTGTTACGCAAGAAGAAATAGAACAACAGGATACCGATATTGAAGTCACAGGTATCGATTGTTTAGATGGAGACACTGTCAGAATGGTGGATGAACATATACGAGAAGTAAATGAATAACCTTCTTATTGGCTGAAATATACTTAGTGAAATAAATTGTACTATATTTATTATAGTCATGTTTCAAATAGAATTATTTGCAAAAAACATCTTTCATTAAAAGTAATTTATTAATATTTTTATGTTGTAGGTTTCTAATCATCAAATAGCAATGCATTTGGAGGGAGATATGACTGTAGTTGGAAATTTAACAGTTAGTGGTCACTTGAGTCAGTTAGGTATAAATTATGTAACTTCAATAAATCCTGAAGATCAAACTCGAGAACAAATAGTACATTATTGTGATAATGTAAAATATGAATCTGTACCAATTAAACAAGAATATCATAGGTTACACGATAGATTGACTACAGGAAATTCTACAAATGTACTTGAAAATAATGTGAGTTAATTCAAATTATATTAATAATTCCACTGGAAAATATTTAAATCTTACAAAGTTTTAAAATAAACAATTCTGGTTTGTAGGTAACGCATGAAACTTTTCCTTCTGCGCAACAAGAAACTGTAAGTGATATGGAAGAATCACGAATTGTTGAAAATGAAACTCCTGCGCATACAGCTTCTTCTCAAACAAATAATTTGGCATCAACGAGTCAGATAACCACTGGAGGTACAGAAATTTTAGTTGAATATACAAAAGAAGCAAAAGATGCATTATTAGAAACGACATTAAATAATCCTACCATTGACGAAACTGGTTCACATTGGTTTGTGTGTCCATTTTGTAATGAAGCAATGTTAGGATCAAGTAATACAATAGCACACTTTGAACAGTACTTTTGTTACTGTTCCTGTGGATTATATTTTACAAGCGTAGATGCACTGAATGTACATAAAGAGAGTTGCAATGTACATAAAAACAAAGTAGTCAGTAAGGAAAAAGAAGTTACTGAATCAGAACTAACGCCTACGCAAAATGACACAAACATAGAAGAAAAAAAACAAGCAACAATGAGACAGAAATGGACTCCAAAAGTTTGTACTCACTGTGGCAAACAATATAGGACAAATTATAAGTTGCAAGAACACATGAGAAAACATACTGGTGAAAAACCTTTCCAATGCATCACTTGTGAAAAAGCATTTCGTAGTAAAATAGGGCTTGCACAACACACAGCCACACATACAGGACAATTCGATTACAATTGTTCCACATGTGGTAAAGGTTTTCAGTCTAAAAGCTATCTTGTTCTTCACCAAAGAGTGCATTCGGATTTAAAACCCTTCCCATGTAATACTTGTGGGCAACATTTCAAAACAAAACAATCTCTGTTAGATCATCAGAACAGGCATCTCGGAGTTAAACCATATGTGTGTGAGATTTGTGGTAGAGGTTTCATAACTAAAGGACTGTGTAAAAGTCATCAAAAAATACATTCAGGCATGGACAATCGGCAATATCCATGCGTAGTATGCAATAAAATGTTTGTTAGTAAAAGTTACCTTAACACACATTTACGTATTCATACTGGTGAGAAACCTTATTTATGTGAAGTTTGTGGTAAAGGGTTTTTAACACGTGTCGATCTGAAAATTCACTCGACCATGCATACCGGAGAGAAAAGTTTTAAATGCGATATGTGTGGAAAAGTATTTGCCAGAAGAGCCGCGTTAAGATGTCACAGAAGATTACATACGGGAGAACGACCTTACAGATGTGACGTATGTGGCAAAACATTTACACAATTCACTCCTATGGCCATCCACAAAAGATTACATACCGGGGAACGACCGTATGAATGTGATGCCTGTTCTAAGACATTTGTATCGAGATCAACTATGATGTGTCACAAAAAAAAGCATCATAGTACGCCAACGGTACAAAAAGAAGAACCAGTTCCTCGTCAGAATGAAGTGAAAAATATTTTACCAGCTGAAATTGTACTTCGGGATTCTCAGGAAGGAATTCAAATTACCGCCGATTAAAATTTACGAAAACAAATAACGCACGACAGGAACTAAAATATCGAGTCTGCATTTTATAAAGCGGCATTAGTCACCACGATGTATTCCTTTATTGTAGCGTATATGTTAAAATTGTATACAAAGAATATATTTTCGAAGATTCTTCGCAAGAAGTAACAAGGTTTTTTAAAGTCATTATACTATATATAGAGCATAAAGCAAAAATTGTACAATCATTTACATTATCATTTCTTTCGCTTTTAAAATATTTTACTGAATTATGTGAAATATTTTTGAACTACTTGTCCTTTTTTATTTACAATCTTTTTATTTTAGAACAGGCATGGTTAATATTAGTCCATACCTTTGCAAATTCGCTATAAGCTGCAGTACTTAGGTACAGTCAGTCAACTCTTATTATATTACTATTTAACTTCATCTTAAAATTTTCAAATTTAAAAGTTCGGTAATTGGAAACTTGAGAATTTGAAGATTTAAAATTTTTAAATTTGGCTTGAGAGCCACCACATATTCATGCCCGTTTTAGAATGTTTTGAAGATGAATAACGCTTTTGAGTAAGACACAAAATAATTGTCAACTTTACGTTAACAAAATAAGAATAATATTATTCATAAGCTTTTTCAGTCCATATAATATAGGAACTGGTTTCTGGCTTGTAATGAGAAATTTTCATGACGCATATTAAAATGATTTTGAAAATCTTTAACACATTGTAAAAACTTAACAAAGATAATATGCGCAGTATATTATTGAAGTTTATGATTATACAGTATATTTATATTAATTTTAATGAAATACCCGTGTTATTCAACATTGATATTTGAGTTTATTAAATAAAATCGAAATGAATAATTTATAACTTATTTTTTAATGTATTTGTAAAAGAAGTCAACTCATTGTTAATAAAATAACATGGATGTTGTTTATTTAAAAACGTATTAAAATATATTGCATTATAGAATATTCTTTTTGTTACATGAACATACAAAAATTTACATCTTGCATTCGGTGTACACTAAAAATTGTTATAAAAGCCACTGAGAAACAAGAAGATGCAACATTTATTATCTATAATCAAAAATATGATTATCATAATAAAGAAAGTGAAATATTTTCATATCAATCCTAGTAAATCACTGAAACATTATTTAATAAGTAAAAGGCTGATAGCTACTTTTATTGCAAGGGAGTGCTACAAAATGGTGATTGTATTTCAGTAATGATATAATTTTTTAAAACGAATAGAACAATAGAATTACATATGATCACTGTTATTACAATGTTTATTCATGTGGCATCTCATCAGCAATTCTCTTTCAAACAGCTTTCAGCACTATACACAGTAGAAATTGTGATATATTATAATAATAAAGTGATTACATTATTTGTAAAATTGTGATGATTGTAATATTACTGATAAATCCTCTGGACAGAAAATATAAAACATTTACAACCATATTTAGAATTACTTTTAAATTCAATATACCTATGCAATAAATCGAGATTAAACAATTGTTTTTATTTATGAAATATATACACGCTGTAAATTTGTGTAAATTAACGTTCTGTTGTTACTGAATTTCGCATTCAAACTTATATTTTTAATTAATGAATCATAACGATGTAATTTGTGAAAAATGATATAAAAGAAACAATTTCTTATAAAGTAATTTAATATGTTGAAAATATTGTGGAAGCCTTCTTTTTACACATTCTTTGAAATTTATATTTGTGCTCTCTTTCAATTTATTAGAAAATTGTACTTATCGACGCTTCAACAACAATTATCGATAGTTAATGACATATTCGATTTGTACTGAGAATACAGACTTAGATAAAGGAGAATTCCAAAACTACCATATTGACAGTGAATGGTTCTATATCTTACCGTTCTTACAAGTGACTCTGACTAGATATACTATCAATAACTACATATCTGTAATATTATTGAATACAGATGTAAAATCGTGGCCACGTAGGTCTGGATTCGTCGGTAAATGGGCCCAGCGTACATAAATGCACTGGCGAATGTCATTAACAATAAATAAATAACAGATAAATGTAGAGTGCGGATAGTATTCATTGTATAACTATTTTTGCATCAACAAGATATTGTTATAAACATGCTTGGAGACATTGTCTGCACAACAAGGTAACAGCGAGTAGTTTTACCACCGGCTATGTTTAGTCGGTAGTAGTCAATGACGAAGATAACACAAGCTCATGTAACGTCTCATGATAATTCGACTCGGCTTCTGTTTCTTCATTCGACAGCAGCATATTATAGAGGGTGTTAGAAGTCAGCGCAATTTTTCATGAGATACAATCTTTCATAAGGCTGAAAGTCTCGTCAATGTAGGTGTAAATCAAAACACATAAAAACAATATAGAATTAGTCATTCATTAAGGCATGTAAGGATAATAAGAAATCAATACTCATTAAATAGTCATATTTGGCATCACAGCGAGATAAATTAATATAAATTCTTTTGTATGGAAATTGCACTAATATTGTACAACAAGAAGTCTACATGAATTTGTTATTGATATGTTATTAGTAACAAAGTGAACAAGTTAGAATTAGATTTTTTATTTCCCGTAGTTCAAAATACAATATTTTCAGGAATGAAAGTCAAGAAACATCGAATAATAACGTTCAATTTTTTACAATTAAAAATAATTCTAATTGAAATGGAAGATAGAAGGTTATTTTTCTTGCTTACGTTTGTATTATAATTATGAAACATCGTAACAAAAGTTAGAACGCTCTTCGTATCAAGTGTCGATATATGCTCTTCAATTTGTTAGAAGCGAAATTTCCTTCTATATCATTCAAGAGACATCAAGATCGTTACTTTCTCGACCATCGGTTAAAAATCCGTAAAGTTAGTCCCAAGAGGCGATGAAAAGACCCCTACGGTCCCCCAGCCAGATCTTTTAACGGACCCCAAAAGGTTGCGCGTCAAGTGGTCTTTTTCCCTCCCGTTTTCTCCCCACCAGGCTCTCGAGAAACATCCTAGCGTACCACCTGCAAGGCGATTGGTCAGTTTAGAGACAGGTCAAACGGCAACACATCGGTTAGCGTTTCTGTCACATTCATCTCTCTCGTTTCGAAGTACCCAGTCGAAGTTATTGTTGATAGCGTCCCGAATTTATCCGCGACGTCGCTCGTGCCACGTGAATCAGAAACCGTCGGTTTCGCGCGTCGAAAAGCGTCCGACCGTGTCGACCGATCAAACGAATGTCGAATTCCTGCGTGTTTTTAACCGCGAGCTTTTCAAACAGTGCACATTATGCGCCGTGGTAACGCGAGTGTAGCAAAGTGTTTTGACACGAGTCTGGTGCGGTGATTTTCTGTGAAACGTCCCATTCGATGAATGAAGAAAGTACTGTCGTGCATCGGGAATAACGCGGGAGGATTGATCATTCAGGTGAGTGGTTTTGTTTTCGTGTATGTAACTCGTTCGTGGAATTTGAGGTTAGGTTGTGCCAGCGTTTAGCCTGCGTAGTGTTTTACGACACGGTGGTCTCGTTGGGCGCGCTGCGTTTTTCGGCCTGGAACAATACTGTCCTTCGAAGGACCAGGCATCCGGGTCCTCTCGAGTCGAGGTCTAAAAGGGCCCCTTTCAGTTTCTAAACGATGCGTGCCGGTGCATGTCTCTCTTTCTCTCAGCCCTCCTTACTGGAATGCGAACCTTCAGAGATCCTGCTGTGTTTCTACTATAGCCTTCCTCTGCAACAGGTAGTGATGGCCCACTAACTGTCACTATGCTTTTCCTCCTAACTTTTCTTTCGTTCTGTTATCGCCGGTTTTCATGACGTTTCCTTCCCGCGATAAACGTAAATGGAATTTCAGAGCATTTCCGGTCCGATGGACCTTTGGCTTTGTAGTCGCGTGGATTATTTCACATCTCTTAAATACTATACACAGGTTTAATATTTTTGACATTTAAAAATAATTGGTGATTCTTTTCTTATCCCATATTTAATTAGTAAATCGGAGATGTTCTCTTCAGGCAAAAGATTGAAGAATATAAATATATATTCATTCACATGTAACGTTTCGATCTTTTTTTAGAGTCTTTTCCAAACTATTTATTGCAATCACATAAAATCTATAGTAGAACAAATGATTAAAGAAAGGTAAACTAAAAATTAATTAACAGCAAAGCATTATGAATTAAATGATAATGCCTATTCTAAACCGATTTTTCGGTTTTTTTGTCCAATATGGTCACACTCTTTCATTTTTTGAAAATTTTTAACATTGTCACCAAAATAATTGCGGAAGGTCTTTATCGGAGTCGATTTGGTTCATTTGTTGCAATCATCATATTTATGTAATTACATGTATGCTGTATTTATAGTAATTTTAAATATTTATTTCTTTGGCACATTTCGTAGAAGGCACTATTATTTGCAACTTTTATTAAACATTTTTCATTTCTCTTACAAGGGTAATGCTGTCTTTAAAAAATCTGTAAATTCTCAACCTACAAAGAACAGTACTATTGTATTATGGTTCTCTTAATGCGTAATTTTTGGGAATTGACCTTTTCTTTATCTTTGCAAATAATAGAGATAATTAAGGTGATGATGCACGGTGAGCTATATGTATATTACTTTATGGTATATTATTTAAATGCTATATTTTATAACAATTTTACCGAGTTTCATCGATTGATTCGAAGAACAGTATTCAACGTTGAAAAAAGCTAAAAATGATATGCGCTAAAAAACTGACGAAAAATTAGAAATGTAAAAAAGTAGTGCATATTAAGATACAATATTAAATAATTCTGTAGTTTATGTTTTTAAATTTAAAGAATTAAATTAATTCACGATTTATAATTTAATAATTCAAATTTTATAACTCAATAATATAAGTTCATATGAAATTTGTTTATATGTAATGTAATTTTATACAAATTTTTAGTCTAGAAAATGAAATATTTTATTCAAATATTTCAATATCTTAATAGTTTAATAGTTTTTACGCAGAAAATTGTTAAGAATCAATTCATGCAAACATGTCATTCTTTAAAAATAAAACTAAATTTTAAATACTCTTTATACATGTATTTATGCAAAACTATGGACGGCAGATTATATTTCCTGCACATGTACAGTTATTCAAATATTAATTAT